TCAATCAATTTATTTAATTAAATTGCTCACACTCGAATCGCATGCCAACCAACCGTAAATTGAGCCGAATCGCTCGTTTTTATAGCCACGGCCATATTTGATTAACACACACACACTGTATGGGACGAATCGATACCATGGATTTTATTGATTTATTTTCATAACGGATTTTTTTTCAAGCGCATTCAAAAATGGCAAAACAACCAACCTCTCCAATATAAAAACCCATTCAAGTGGAAAACCATTGTCGATACCCATATGTTTTCTGTGCGGTGGAACGAAGCCCGCCGCGTTGCACACAGCATTAGCGAGAGCAGTACAGCACACTGTACTGCTCTCGCTCTAACGCACACTGCAATGCGTACGTACGTAGAAGCCTAGAGCGCAGAGCGCCAATACACACAAACTCACTTATGCGCATGTTACAACGACTGAATGTACAGTGTACACACAGTCATTGTAACATGCGTACTAGTGTATGTGAGTGAATTGGTGCTCTCCGCTTCTATGCTGAGTTCGTACGTAAGCATTGCAGTGTGTGTTAGAGCGAGAGCAGTACAGTGTGCTGTACTGCTCTCGCTAATGCTGTGTGCACTATCTCGCCTCTGCAACGCGGCGGGCTTCGTTCCACCGCACAGAAAACATATGGGTATTAAGGTGTGTGTGCATTCAAACATGTTCCAACATCGCTTTTTTTAATGCAAACATTAAATTATTATGAACACACTTTAAAATGGACAACGGGCACAATACTTTTTCTCTTTCTCGCGCGCGCGTGTATACAACTCAATACCCGTCGTAGTGCCAATTTGCCTTTCAAGCGAACACTATACTCCATCCAGGAATGCCTTGTTAAATATTCAAAAAGGATGAATTTTTATCGTAATTTTTCAGAACGGGTTTTTGTTGATACAAAAAGAGATGGCTTTTGTCGTGTTTTTTTTTGGGGTCCGATACACTCTGCGAATGACACTAACGTAAAAGCAAATGCATACGATATGAAAACAAATCAAGCCTTGTGCAGCTTACTCGTAAGTTGGATACTGTGATTGAGAACAGTTTAGATATTTTCAACTGATTGCCGTGGAATAAGCATGGGTCGATTGCGAGAAATCGCTACGGAGTCTAGACGATGATAATGTGAGTTGGATTCTATTGAACTCCGACTGAATTCTCTGAATTGAAACTGAATTGAAATGAGCTGAAGTGAACTGCACAGAACCATTTTACAGCCGAAGACAACTCATTTGAATGCTTTCAATGTAGAGAAGAAATATCAGAGGAGCCAAGGCGGTTTTCAAGCAATGAAAAACCATGAAACTGGTGGAAAACACTTCAATTTCATGAATAAAAATGAAACCTCGCTGAAAAGCAATTAGAAAATAACAAATCATCCGATCATTCAGTGATTTTCTTCGAGAATCTCAACCGATCAAGACAAATCTTAAGGAGTTTCAACAAAAATGACAAGTTATATTTAAAATATTCAACAAAGGCTCACAAAATCAGTGATAAATTCAATGGATTTTGTGAAAATTCCTAAGAAATCATCATAAATCTTCAGAAAAATCTACGATTCACAAGGCAACTTTGAATAATTGTGGGAAATTCATTATGAAAGTCTTAAATCGCGTATCCCATTTGGCTTGAATCTGAAGAATAAACGCAAAATTCATCCAATCGTGATGAACAATTTTGAGGAATCGCTTTTAACCCACGAGAGAAACCTATATATTAACACGAAATTTCACGAAATTGCACAATTTATATTCAAAATAAATGGATTTTCTCTCGAAAAGCCTGAATCCATCATGTGTTTGTCCATTTTTTACGTTCATTTGCCAGAAGAGTACCTTACTGAGACAATTTAACTAACTCCTGCATTTCAAATTAACTCAGTAAATTCAAGCGAAATTCAGGCCACCGAAAAAATTACATCAAAGCTTTAATTTTTCTCACACTTCGTCCTCATCAACTGTTCCATGGAATGGAATGCATAAAATCTAAATATTTCCACTTGTTAAATGGGTAGCGAAAAAAATAAGCAAATAAATCAAAAGCAAATTTTAATCCGTGCAAAAAATGAATTGCAAGAGAGAGCAAAAGGATGCAAAATAGGATTGGTGCTCGCTCACAGCGTGGGCGATTCTATTGGCTGTTTAAATTCGTTTGCTTTGCATACAATTTTTCCCATCGAACTTCTTTTTTTTCATAATTGAAGTGAATTCGAATGGAATAGCATTTTTTTTTCGTCGAACTGACAGCTTCCATTGCTTTCATTTAAATTGGATGAATCAAGAGATGGCCTCGTTTAAAATATGAATTTCATGTTTCATAGAACCGAACAAAAAAAAACTTCGACTGCAATCAATTTCGAATGGAATTTCGTTTGTTAGTTCAGGAAGTTCATAATTTGTTGGTGGATGTGAGTTGAAAACGGAAATGGAAACAGCCGAAAATCACTTTATTGAAAGGTTCAATTTAACTTTCCGTTCAGAAGTCGTTGGTGGAAAAAGTTTGTTTTGGATTTGTTCGAGTAAAAGTTTTCGGCCTTGGCAAATTATCTTCGTTTCACATTCTCGAGTCACTCGATATTTCAATTTGGTGCATGTTTATTTGCTCAGTTTGATCATTTTCACATTCAGTACCTGCTTCCGATATCTGCAGAGGCGATAACAATGACCACAAAAGCTGTTCTTTTCACAAAATTTTATTGGCTCGTTTAAGCATTTTTCAATTGACCAGCAAAACATATGCTTGAATATTGAGCAGGGCCATTGCATGGCAACGAGCAAAAAATAGTGCGTCATCATTTATAAATATATATAATAAATGCATTTATTGTTATCCAGAGCAATTTGTCGTGAAACTGGGCCACACACACACACACACACTCATAATCGAAGCATTTGGCCCTTTTTTCAAGAATCGCATAATTTATTGTTCACTTTTTTGCCGTGCCGTTTTCCATCGAACGTGTGGGAATTTTGCACAGTAGAGCTTGTTGTAATAGCACTGGAATGGCTAAAAAAAAACACCCGGTAAACGGCACATAGTTGGCAAGCCAACGGAACATCGTGTTCGCATTCGATGCCCAACATTCGATGCACTGAACCGTATAAATTGTTTTATTATCCGATTAATTTTTTTTCGACTGTTCGATTGATTGAATGCCTCTTGAAGATATTGAGCACGGAAATCGTACGAAGTGAACAACAAAAAAATGCACGTGTCACCAAACACACCGTGCTCTCACGTTCTCTTCCTTATTCTCTATCGGTCTCTCTATCTCTCTTTCTGCCTCTAGCTATTTCTCTCCCTCTGCCTCTATCTTCTCTCTCTCTTTCTCTCTCTGTGCCTCTCATAACAGAGATCAATCGATTTTAATGGCACAACTTCGACAATTACAATCATAGACCTTACGCAATATCGATTGGAGCGTCGCATCGCAAACTTGGCTGAGGAAAAGCCACCACTCCAAATGAACCGATTAAATTGCAGAAGTTGAGATGGTAAAGTTGTTCAAATTTCAGGACCAGCTTAAAATAGATAGTGGAAAATGTAATTCGGAACAAAGTTTGGGTAACATCGATTTGCATAAGGCTGTGGGAAATGATACGGCCGTCCAATCGTTCGTTCCAACGGGTAAACTTTTCGGAGTTTATCTCGTTTCCGTTAGACTGGAAAACAAATAATCACAATATCTCAATCAATGAAAGGACAACCGGATTTTCAAACGAGTTTATATCGCTTTCGTGCATGTTGAACACTTTAAGCTTCACTGAACTTCTCTCAAATGTGTCTAGATTTATGTGCCTTTTTGCTTTTTCAATTTTTTTGTTTTCTCTATCGTTTGCCTTCTTTCCACATTTTCTCGTCTTCTTTCTTCTCTCGTTACCTCTATCACATTCCCTATTTTCTTGCACTTGTCGCTTCTTTCCCCTTTTTGTGCTTGTCTCTATAATTCCGATTGAGCAGAAAATTGTGTATTGTGCAACTCATACAATGTGTGAATGAGTTGATTTCGGCACTGCATTGTCTGCGATGAACAAAACTCACACACCATGTTAAACTCTTGGAGATGTTCCAAAAATGAGTCTCAATGCATAAACGACAGAATTGGGTCAATCACACGAAATGTTCTGTTATCAAGCAAAAATCAGTGAGTCATGAAATATTTGGGCAAACAAACGAAAAACCATTCCATGCATTTTCGTTCTCGGATAAATCTTCTTCAATGTCAGTGCCGTTGCCAATCGGAGCAGAAATGATAAAAATGCTGATGAAAACACACGCTGATTGATTTTGAAACAGACACTTTTTTGGGAGTAAACTATGAACACGGGGGATGAATTTTCAATTTTGAATACTCTTCAAATATGTCTCATATTTCGATTTTTGCGCATTTTTTTTTCTTCAATTTTCTGCTTGAATTTGGGTCGATTGAATGAATATAATCTGATATTTTGGATGTTTATCCATAGCAACCGATTTGAACAAGCTTAGATTTGAATATGGAATATCAAACTAAAACCAAGGCATTTTTGTGTCGAATCAAATACGTTCTTCGCTAAACAAATGAACTCATCAGCACCAAAATAATTTTGTTTATTTTTCGTTTGTGTTTTCAAAAATTTACGAGGAGTTTACAGACTTAATAAACTGTTTGTTTTTCATTATCTCAAGTGACCAAAAAGTCTAATCAATATAGCCGTTGAGTATTTGATTCATTTCCAAGTTGACGAGATTACTGATTTGTCACTGAAATTTAATGAATAATAAAAAAAATCTGACAATTATCAGTGAGTTTCGCCTGGAAATTTTGCCGTTGAGACATTATGCCGAAAAATGATTAAACGAATTTTAATCACTTCTATGACATGTGTTTATGCCACGATTATCAGCTAGTATCGGTATAGTATACTCTCTCTTTTGATTGTGAAACACTCTCACTTGATTGATAAGAATTTGTTTTCGAACAACCGTTTGGATTTAGGAATACCAAAGTACATTCAGTATGAAACTCGCAGTTTGAATAAACAATTTTGTTGACGGTGGGAGCTTCTGGTTCATTAAGTGCAAGTCGTTCAGTAAAATGAACCTAAACACGGCTTCTGCTCCATTCGGTAAATAATAAATTGTGTTTTTATTGTCAAAATTCGAATAAATTGAAATTTTCTTCTGGAAATTTATCCATTTGTATTCAGTTGTGCTCATAGTTGTTTCGGTTACACAAGCAATACCGATAAAATGGGTAAATATTCTCTCCATTCAACAGAATACACAGTAAAAGAACATCCGAAAGACATAGAATATTGAAAATAAAATCACTTTTTCAAGGCAAACGACGATGAATATTATTGTAGCGATGAATTGACGTGTAAAGCGTACGAAAGGGAGCCCGATGGTATATTGGTCGAGAAATTAATGAAACATGTTATGTGCACTAATGGAAGAGTGAGTTTTTGTGAAGAGATCGGATTTCTGATTGATGTTGGAAATTGATCTGCTATTTCGTTCCTTCTTTTCCCTCATTTTCGTCTCTCAGGAACTCTTCGTTTTTCTTCGTTTTTTGCCATTTTATCTCATTATTGTTCTTTTATTTTCATTTTTTCATATTCTTTTCTTTCGAAAAATCGTTTCAACTCCGTAGAAATTCGGTTCAACCTGTGAAAATGCGAAATTTCTTCCGATCACTGATGAAATCAAGAAAATACTTTTGAAAGGTCATAATGAAAGACGGAGTTTAGTTGCACAGGGCAAACTAGAAGGTGTTTTTTATAACAAAACAGCCACAAGAATGGCTACTATTGTGAGTGAAAATTTGAGATTTAATAGTTTTTTTCCACCTTATATTCGAACTTTTCGTACTTCTTCTGCCATGGTGTAATTTGGTTCACTTACGTTCACTAATCGCATGATTTTTATTTCCATATGAATTACGACGAATCAAATTTAGGTGTGGGACGATGAATTGGAAATGATCTCTGCACAAAATGTTGCCCAGTGTAAAATCGAGCACGATGATTGTCGTCGAACAAAGCGTCACACGTACGCTGGTCAAAATCTGGCTCAAGTTTGTGCATATCCAATATTAATACCCGTTAAAGATGCATTAAATAGATCGATGCACGACTGGTTTGAGGAGCACAAGTATTTTACGAATGTTGATTGGATAAGTTCATATCCAGAAATGGGATCCAAACAGGCCATCGGTCACTTTACACAAATGATTCAAGATAAAGCGTACGCGATGGGCTGTTCAGTTGTTAAAAATTTAAATTGCTATTACATCGCTTGTAATTATGCGGTGGGGAATATAGTCAATCATCGAGTGTATGACATTGGTAAAGTTGGTAAAAAGTGCCAAAAAGGAAGGAACGATAAATATCCCGGCCTTTGTAAGGAAACTGAAGATTTCACTGATGACAGACAACTTTTTTCGAAGGACAAAAGTGAAGTGCCACCATTGGTCAAGTGGAAAAAGAATGGCAAGAGATTTAGTTGGGATGGAGCAGATGTTAGAACGACGGCGAAACCGAAAACAACCGCGAAGCCAAAGCCTAAACCAAAGCCAAAGCCAAAGCCAAAGCCAAAACCAAAGCCAAAGCCAAAGCCAAAGCCAAAGCCTAAGCCTAAGCCTAAGCCTAAGCCTAAGCTAAAGCCAAAACCCAAGCCAAAGCCAAAACCAAAACCAAAGCCGAAACCAACCACCCAGAAATCAAAACAAACCGTAAAAACAACAACGTTCCGGCCCAAGCAGCAAAGCAAAACCAACCAGAGACCAACCATGAAGGCCACAACTACTTCTAAGCCGAAGGCAAAGACCACTTCTAAACCGACTAAAAAAAGTACTCCTAAACCGACACCGAAGAAGAAAATCCCGCCTAAGCCAACACCGAAGAAAAAAATCCCACCTAAGCCAACAACAAAGAAAAAGCAAGAGCCAACTACCCAAAAAATAGGCGTGAAGGGCAATACTACTTTTAAGCCGACTCAAAAGCAGCAAGCAAAAACAACGCCAAAACCGAAAACAACCGCTAAGCCCAAGACCACTTCAAAGCCTGCAACAAAAACTACTTTAATGCCTAAATAAACCATATAAACAAGGCTGAACGCAGGCATTTATCTTGAAATTTACATCTGAAGCAAAAATGATACAAAAACGTCAAAACGGGCATGAAATCCATGAAATTTTTGTATATTTATGAAAATAAATTTCATTGAATTTTCTTCAAAAGAGAATTTTTTATTGATTTTAAAAACGAAACTCAACCAATCGAATGAAATATTAAATGGCTTTGAGTAAAAAAAATTGTTCTCCAATGGTTGCCTGATTTCCGGCGATTTTTACAAATTAAGTTCGTAAATATTCTGTTAACCAGTTTACAATATTCTAAGATGAATATTTTTGCAATGATTAAATCGAATGCCGCTTTTGGTGATCCAATCAATTTATTGGCTGCACCGAACCGTTAACAATTCAAAACAGCTTGTCCAACCTTCTTTCCATTTTGAATCCATTCGATCACTGGTGGAGCGTCGCTGATATTCGTTTCATTTACTTTACAAAGTACAGGATTCATTCCCGCCTGACACTTTGTATCCATGCGACCGTATTCATATACGGGTAAATTCACCGTGGACCCATTGTCATATTTGCATACAATATGAACTTGGCCTGGATTTTTAACAATAGCACATCCAATGGCAGATGCATTACTGATAATCATTTCTACGAAACTGCCATATGCTCTAGCGAAAAAATCACCTCGATATGATGTAATCCAAGCCCTCCTCATCTATAGGTTGATCATCTCTTGCATAAGAAAACAGAAATTGGAGAATTGATAATTATTTGTTCTGGAACAGGGAGATGTTTCTAGGAAATTGCATTGAAGAACAAACGCAAGCGAAAGCATTTCTAATTCGTTGTCCCAAACCTGTGTAAAAAAAAGAGCCAAACGCTGAGTTTAAAATTTCTTCAATAAATTTTATCTGTATGAATGTCCAGATAAACGTTCAAATTCACATTGTTTTTCAAGTAAATATTAGCAAATCATTTACTAGCATCGCAATTCTTGTCGCTGGTTTATTCTTAAAACCACCATCAAGCTCGTCCTCAGCCACTAAATTCCACTTTGCGTTGAGCCCATTCGAAAACACGTTCTTAAGCTTGTCAATCATTGGAATATAGGTTGGATTTGGACATGCTGAATCGAATTTCTATATTCACAAATGTGAAAATAATGTCTTCAATGTGGATCACCAGGCGACAATCCGTCTACTGAATCAAGAGTGTAAACAACTTACTAATCCCTTGGTACATATGATGTGTTTTCTTGATTCACCACGAGAATTCGTACATGTCAACTTATTGCTGCAGTAGTAGGAGTCGCTATTTTCCTAATTAGTAAAGGAGTAATATTGAATTATTACGTCTCGAAAGACAGACAGAATTGCTATTGAACGAATTTGAATTTATTGAAAGTGTTCAATATTTCTACGGTCAAAATTTAGCATGTTTTTGAAGGAATCGCATTTTAAAGTAAATTGTTTAATATTTACCGTGATTTCAGCATTGATTCCTATCACCAAAACCACTAAAATCGTAAATAAATGAAAAAAAAAACACAATGAAAATTTTCGAATACTCCAATGTAATCAAGGAGTTTTTTTTACATTTATCCAACACAAGAACGGTTTTCAAAACCATTTTTTTTTCGAGATTCCACCTGGTTTCAACCAGTTAATTTAATGAACTGAGGCAAATGATTAACCAAAATATGGTTTTTATGGTGACCCAAATGATTGCGATATGTAGAAAAAGCGAAAAATCATGCGAAAAAATTTCGGCTATGAGTCAATCACTATTTCCTGCATTCAACATTTCACTCAAATCTGTTTTTGATAAAAGTTAAATATTTTGGAAAAAGTCTTACGCATAAGCAACAAAAGGAATGATTATCAGTACGTTTCTGGTCGTTTTCCATGAAATTCCGTTTTCTAAATTGATTTGATTCTTTCGGGCTGAATAATTAGTCATGCTATCGGTATCCACAACGAAATGATCTAAATCTGTATTTCCAGATGTTTTACCGGACGTGACTGTTATTGTAGACATTTCTACATATTTTATGATGAATTAATTCCACTTGAATATTATTCATCTATTTGCTTCATAATAAAATTTCATGAAATACAAAAAAATTAACGATTTTCTTCTATTTCTATTTGCAGGTAAGTCAAGCTTGATTTGTGAATTAACAACGCAGGAAGAGGTTCAAAATACAAATGCAAAATTGAGCCAATCAAACCCTTCCATTGGATTTCAAGGTGTTTTTCCTCTTAATTCTTTCATGATACAATCAAACTTTTCTCTCGAATGAAACCGAATCGAATTTATTTTTCCGAATGATATTCTTACATTAGTCTTCTTTGACTCATACAAAGCAAAATGTGACACGTGTATGACATTTCGAAATGCCGCATTGCTTACTTAATACTCAAAAACTTATCTAGAATACGCATGCTATGCACAAAATGACGCACACGACAAGTCGTCGACAACACTAGATAACAGGCCGAAAAAATGCGAAATTTATCAAATATTCCGACGTTTTGATAAATGGTTTTTTTTCACCCTTTGTGGTTTTATATTAAGCACAATATTCAGGTGCCCAAATTTGTACCTGTTCCACTTGTAACTGTCATTGCAACCGTGCACTGATGATACTTGAAAAGTTCCCAATTATTTCTCATTAATTCTAGTACAAAGGGCTGTAACAGTGATTTAATGGGCACATTAGCATCATTCCTACGGATTGAAATGTATTCATCGCATAAATTACGGAAAACCCTTTTTTTCTGTTGACTCAGTTCAATTGTGACAGATGCTTTACACATATTACGTCTTAATAAATTTCAACGAAATGAAACATACATTTCTGGACGATTTCATATATAGCTATGCACAAGTTCAGATATGGAACTGCGGTATTTTCCACCATAGCTTGAACTCGTTTTGTTGGCACATTGTATTTGAAATCATGAATCAACTTTTGTGTGACTTTGTGATTAAACTAGTAATCAAAATTAGTTTTAAATGCACGATTGTGTATTTGTAGTTAATCAACACAACGATTTGATATGTTATGTATTTCTGACCAGAACGGTGACTCATGGATTCAACTAAATTGTCACTAGTATTACTCGATACACTTTTAAAGTGAAATAGATACGTTTTTTTCTTACCCAAAGAGTACATTTTTTCGCTAAATGTCACATCAACACGTATAGCAACGATTGCATTCCACGTGTAGTTTTAACGAAGCAAACGTGTAGAATACATACCCCGTTTTCCATTTCAAGATATTTTTATGTGGAATCATGCACAGCAACAGATTAATTTCAAGAAATCTTACTCACTATGTATAAATTTTATAATAAAAAAATTCCTGGTTCAAATCATTAACTGTACACAGTCAGTTAGTTGAGTGAAAGAAAGTAAGTTGAATCTGGGTGAAATGGTTTCAATTACAGCTTTTGTGCTAGGTAAATATTCAATTCTATTTGAAAGTCGTCTGAGCTTAAAGTCATTTCTGAATTTATTAACACTTGCAGTGGCTTTATTTGTCGAAACAAACGTTGGACAATTGGTAATTATTGAAGAATCAATTTGAATGAAAGAAAAACGAGTCGTTTTAAACGGTCATTTTTCGTCCAAAATTTTTTTGAATCAAACTATCAACATTTTCAAACAACCGAGAAAAAAATCAATAACAAATTCTTTTGAAGGAAAATGATGACAATTATTACTGCAGTGCTGAGCTCACGTGCATAGACCTTTATACTAATGAACTGAAAAAACATGTTATGTGTACCAATGGACTAGTAAGTTGTTCAAACAATATTCACTCAACGTTCAATCAAAATTGAAGCAACTTTTCGTTGATTTCAACGACCAAATATCATACGATGGTCTTCAATGATAAAATCGTTTATTAAACCATAGAAATTCGGACGAAATTGTCAAAATGCATCACATGTTCCGATAACTCGTGAAATCCGGGAATTATTTTTAAATGAACATAACGCAAAACGAAGTTTGGTTGCTAAAGGTCGGTTTTTTTGGAATTCAGCAGCGACCAGAATGGCAACTGTTGTAAGTGATTCTTTGGTTTTTTACTCAAAAAAAAAGAGAAAAAATTCTTCTGAAGAATTTCGAAATTGACTCTATGCTCGGAAGTTGAATTTTGAATAAATCCGATTTTCGCCTCTTTTCACCCAGGTTTGGGACGATGAATTAGAAATGCTCGCACTCGCGAATGTTCTTCAATGTCAAATGGATCACGATCAGTGTCGTAAAACAAAGCGTTTTCCATTCGCCGGTCAAAATCTTTACAAACTGTGGACATCGGATAAAGATGCTATAAACGATGATTATATAATGCGTGGGGTCAAAACATCAATGGATATCTGGTTTCAAGAATATAAACTTGTCAAAAACATTTCGTGGATTCAGGCATTCGGTAGTAATAGTGCCCCTTGGTGGGAAATTGGTCATTTCACACAAATGATTTGGGGTGATTCAGCCGCCATTGGATGTGCCATTGCTCAAAATCAGGCCGATGTTTATATTGCATGCAATTACGCCAAAACGAACATGATGGGCTCATCCGTATATGAAAATGGTACAATGGGCTCAAAGTGTCAGATGGGAATGAACCGCGAATATCCCGGTCTTTGTAATGTAAATGAATTTATCAAGGTATTATCTATAAGCGAAGCACCACCAGTGACCAAATGGATTCACAACGGAAAAACAATCGATGAAAGCACATCGAAGAAATCGACAATAAATGTGACAAACGAATCAATTCAAAAGGCAAAGCACAATCAAAACTCCAGTAGAAGTAACAAAAACGTTAATATATTGGCCCATATAATAATTTTAGCGCTGAATACTGTCATTGCAAAAATACTAATCGCTTAACGGTTAAAAATTCATTGAAGTTTGAATTTAATTTCAGAATTTTTTTTTATTCTCCTTAGATTGCTTATCAAAAGTATAAACAAGTCAACCAAAACCCTTTGCAAAAAAAAACAATAAATAAATGCATTCAGAAGTAAAATCAAGCGTTTTTCATTCGATAAAACTGTGATGAATCAGCTCATGATAACTCATAAATCAAAACTAATGATGACTCATGATTCATGAGTTCTGAATTGATTCAATTTTGGTTCCATACATTGTAATATTCGGTGAGACGCATGGTCACTCATTTAGTGAGTGAAACGCACGCGGATGAGATGAAGCAAAGCGAAAGAGAAGCGGGACTACACAAACACGTATTAGCCATTGACTCTATGTTCTAGTTGCGCGCTTCCCTTTCGCTTTGCTTCATCCCATCCGCATGCGTCTCACTCACTAGATGAGTGTGTATATTTTTTTTAGTGACACTCACCGAATATTACAATGTATGTTTGGTTCTTGGTTATTTAACTGATTTCAACCGATTTCGACCGATTTCAAGTATGTTAGCTGCAAAAAATCTTTTCCTTCCTCGCCGTCTTCTAAGTTTCTCCAAAAATTCCTGGATCTCTTTTGAAGTTAAAAAAAAAATCTAAGAAAACTCTTTGTTCAAATGTCCATTTCACACAATTCCGTTTGAAGTTAAAGTGTCAAAATCAAGGTATGCGTTCAGTGAACGCCGTTCACAGTGTGAATTTCACACTCGTGCGCCACATCCTCACATGATACAAAACTAACGAGCGTCATTCATGTTGAATTTACTTGTGCAAATGAAGAAAGCGTGTGAATAAACAAGAGTGTGAATTTAAATTTCAATTTCGTGAAGCACAACATCAAGTTCCTTGGAATCATGCTATTGATGCAGCAGCACAGCAGCTGCCCTTTTTCTCGCGTCGAGTGTCTTTAGTAAATAGTAATGGAGCAAATAGAATTTACTGCCATATGTGTAAAGACGGAACAGCTAAATGAAATGGTCACATATTGCGTGGGATTTCTCCCATTGCATTCCATTTTCGAATGAAAATGATCCTTTAGGAGAGAAGGCGGAGAATATTTGCACAAGCCATCTTTAGTTTTGTAGAAAAAGCTTCTTCGTCTACTGATTGACAGGCAGTTTTGTAACTGAAGCTGATTGATAACGGTAGTTTGGCACAATTGCTTCATTTCAGCACATTTTTCAGTAAGTGTATCATAATAATTGGGTTGCAATGGAGCAAATTCAATGAAATGTTCTGTACGGAATCCCGAGATATTTTGCTATGTCAAAAAAAGCTGCTCCAAAGTAAAACGTGCCAAAACGAGTCATGCAATGACGACAAAAAGGGCTGAAGCAAAAAACAGGCAACCGATTCAATGGAATTGATTCATTTTGAGTGTCATTAAAGACTGCAAAAGAAACGATCCGGTTGATGGGCGACCAATGCTAACTCACACTAGATGTGCCATTCGCCATGCTTATTCATCGTAGTTTTTCATCAGTTAATTAGAGAGAATGAAGCTGCACAACAAGATAGCAAATATTTGTCTTGAATGTTGATTTTTCGTCTCAATTCAAACCACTCGACGAAGGAAAAACATGAGCGGAAATGTAAACGAAAACATTACGTGTGTGTGAGAGAGCTTGAGAGTTGGTTCCCAACCCTTGTGCAACACAAGAGACGGATAATTTTATTTAAATCCAATATTAAAATATTCCCTCTTGAATGCAATTTTCACGAGAATTTCAATGAATTTAAATTAATTTCTGGTATCTACGTATCAAAACGAGCGGCAGTCTACATTGGCTCATGGGAATGCATAAAATAACATTGAAATGCATTTGAACCTAGATTTGAACTTAACGATCGGCTTGATTTTCGTTTCACATTCAGCCATTATGAAAATAAAACGCTTCGATAAAACTTCATTTGTAATTAAAACGAGTTGCATTTGAGCAAATAAATCGCGTTTGCAGCGCAACGGGAAACACTTTAACGCAATTCAAATTACGATTATTGTATTTATTCAGGCAAAATGATTTCGAAACTTTCAAGCACATTTATGGATTTCGAATAGAATTTTCCGCTATTGGAGAATGCATTTTACGGGAAATCGCATCGGTAATTACGTCAATTCACATTACAATGTAAATGCGATTGAATAAATTCCATGGATTATTGAATGCATTAACGATTAGCGAGCGAATTTAATGAGATCGATTTGGGTAAATTGAATGCGACGCATATTATGAGCCAGCCAGCCAGAGTTTGATGGGCATGGGTTTTAAATGAGGCCTTCGCTGACTGTTGTTAGTTAAAAGGGGATTTTTGAACGGCTAAATATAGAATGCAGAATGTTAAACAAAGAGAATGTGGAAGATGGTCAAAAAAGAGGAATAAAGCAAGAAAAATGAAAAAAAAAGAAGCTAGGAGGGAAGAAAGAGAGAAGCTAGGAGGGAAAAAAGAGTGAAAAAAGAAAAAAAAAGCAGAAACACGAGAAAAATGTGGAAAAAATGAAAAGAAAAATGAAGAAAAAGCGAAAAAACGTAAAAAAAGAGAAGGAAAAACAGGAAACGAGAAAATAAGTGAAAAATTGAGTAAAAATGTAACAAATTTGTTTATTTATACTAAACGAACGAGGCAATGGACACAAAAAGTAGAGGGAAATCCAAAAAAAAAAGCTTGACAAAGTCGATAAAAGATCTAAAGTATTCATAAGTCAAATAAATTCGAAGCACATATAAACAGAAAAGGTAGAAAAATCAAACAAAAATGACGAATGTAGAAAAAACGAAACAAAATAGAAGGAGCAGCGAAGAAATGTTGAGTGAGAGAGGAGAAGAGAAACAGAAAAACGAATATCAAAGTTCAAAGCAATCAAAGTGTTTATTTTTAGACTAAAAGAAAATCAATCGTCCCTTTAACTTTTTGTGGTCAAGCAATAAAAAGCCATCGAATCGGGTTGCATTTACGTCATTACGTAGCCTGCCCGAATGTGACGAACTTAAGCGTTGTGCATGTCCACGATAAATAATTCATACAATTTGTGTGACCACCAAAAATCGATTCGTGACTTTATTTGCATCGTTCAATGGCAATGCCAATTCGGTTCGTATATATGTGTTTATTTCATATGGTCCAATTAAATTGTTGATATGAATTTGACTAATTTCGATGGAAATTGAATTCTAGCCTTCAAATAAAGTTGATCAACCAGATTTCTCGGTGGAAAATGCGCGTTTTGAAATGTCCCATAACAAACGTCATACAGTACCCTGTCAATGTAACAACATTGTTACATAAATTTAATTAAATTTATTGAAAATGCATGTGCCGCGAGTGTCCAATCGGTCATGGAATGAGAGCTTTTTACTGCGAATCCGTCGCGGTTTTTACTAGTCACAGGCTGCGACTCAAAGCTGTGAATCATACCGAAAAATTCCCAAAGTTAATCTATACAAAACTGCATTTACTCGCTACTTTTTGCGCTGATGTGTCCCCGGTGGAAAGTTGGCGAGTTAATGTCAATGACGAAAAATTTACTTTCGGTTATGAGTATTCGTTATTGTTATTACTGGTGCTATTGTCAAAGGACGTTCTCATTCGAAAAACCGTGCAGTTGGCACGAGAGCTTAAATGTCAACATGCATTGCAAGTGTTGAACACTAGTTTAGTAATGTCACATTCTCTTTCATATAAACTCCTCTTCCTCCCATTTGCTCTCTCCCTTTTTCCCTGTTTCTCTTCTCTTCAACCCATTTACTTCCCATTTCTCCAACTCTCTCCTCCTCTCCGTCATTCATTCGAATCGGGAGCATGTTCCAAGTTAATTTCATTGCTGAATGGAACAAATTAAAACATTTATTCAAGCAATTTGACGGCATTTTTCCATGGCATGCTAACCAAACTCCACTAAAACTTTGGTTTTTAATTGCTTTTCATGACCTTTTTGCTCCACCGTTGAACTTTAAATTATTAAAAAATAAGTTATGAATTGTTGCATTTGGAGAAAAGTTGTCACCTTTAACATTTCCGGAGCAAATTTTCAATTATTACTTTAAAATATGTCTGTCGCATTTGCTGAACACCGCAATAATTCGCAATAATTTGCGCAATCAGCGAAGAATTGAAATCGAGTGCCAGATACCTGTATACACCGACTGAAAATGAAAGTGATTCAAATGGAACCATTCGAAGACGGTAATAATAGTGACGATGAATGTAAATGTGATTCATCGCAAATAACTATTTCTGGGGTGGATTCTAAAAATATACGCCTATAATTCATAATTAATTGGTTCGATGTCGATCGAAGGAAAAGCGATGGGAAATCTCATCAAAATGTCATTTAGTCAATGGTATAAATGGAAAAAATGAACCGCGCGATACCGTTCCGAAAACTGTTTGTTATGGTGTAAATTACCTCCATACAAACACATTATAGTACGTCATACGAATGAATTCTCCAAAAAAAAAAAATATTTGTCATGATTTCGAACCAACGAAAAGTTCCATTTGATTGCGTGCAACAAGGAAATAAAGACGACAAACAAGCCCATCTAGCACACAAATGATTTAATGACCATTTGATTACACGGCTTCTGATTCAACAAACAAAAGCGCTCACTGAATATTGCACGTACGCTCTGTTGGAAAATGGGGGAAATAATACTCTACCACCCGAAAATTCACAGAGTTTGATGTAAATGACCTCACCCATAAAAACTAAATGGATGGATTTTCGGTGCCCGGTCTATATTTAGACGTTCGCACATTTATTTCGATTGATTTCTTTTGTCTTGCCGCTTGAAAGCGACTGACAAAAGGATCAACAACAAATGCCATGCTATTGATTTCATTCAAAGTGCGTATCATTTTGTCTTGGTTCACTTGGTTTTCGGTTTGTGCGAGACTCTCACGCTGTATGAGAGATAGAAACGGAGAGGGAGAGGAAAGGAGAAAGAAAGAGTGTATTTCAGAGAAGCCTTACATCAAAGCATTTTCAATTGTTTTCCATTCTGATGCCAAATTTTCGGAATAATATGATGAGTTTGGTATTTACTTTCGTTGAATGTAAATCAATTGCGCTACTTCAAAGCATTGAATTTACACGTGC